GTTGAAGTCAGACGCTCAACTGACTGAGCCACCCAGGTGCCCCCCTAGAAAGCCTTTTTAATTTTGTTTTAATGTTGATTTATTTTTTTTCTTTTTTTAATTTTTTTTTAAACGTTTTATTTATTTCTGAGAGAGACAGCGTGAGCAGGGGAGGGTCAGAGAGAGAGGGAGACACAGAATCTGAAGCAGCTCCAGGCTCTGAGCTGCCAGCATAGAGCCGGATGTGGGGCTCAAACCCACGAACCGTGAGATCATGACCTGAGCGGAAGTCGGCCGCTTCACCAACTAAGCCACCCAGGCGCCCCAATGTTGATTTATTTTTGAGAGAGAGAGAGACAGAGACAGACGCGAGTGGGGGAGGGGCAGTGGGAGAAGGGGAGACAGAATCGGAAGCAGCTACAGGCGTCAGCACAGAGCCCGACCACGCGGGGCTTGAACTCAGGAGCTGTGAGATCATGACCTGAGCCTTCCGCCGCTTAACCAACTGTGCTACCTAGGCGCCCCTAGAAAGTCTTTTTAGATTACCTTAAGGACATATATTTCAAATACTGTGTTCAAAAATTACTTGGGTAATTTTCCTCTCACACCCAGTTAAGGAGGAATTCACTCATGTTTTTTCTTGTGTTTGTACAGTTTCTTATATCCCTGATTCATTTGGAATTTAATCCTGTGGATGCTGTAAAATATGGATCTAATTTTATCTTTTTACAAATGACTATCTAATTGTCTTAGCACCACTTATTAAAAGTCCATTTTTGTTTCAGTGACGTTTCTAATATCCTACAGTTCCATATATATAAGGGTCTAGTTCTTGGCTTTATATTCCATTCTAGTGTTTGTGCCAGTAAAACCTTGCTTTAATTCAGAGGCTTTAGAGTATATTTTAATATCTGGTAGAACTAATTTCCCACGTAGATTAAAAAAATATGTGTTCCTGGGGCGCTTGGGTGGCTCAGTCGGTTGGGCGTCCGACTTCACCTCGGGTCACGATTCTCACAGCTCATAAGTTCAAGCCCTGCATCAGGCTTTGTGCTGACAGCTCAGAGCCTTTGAGCCGGCTTCCGATTCTGTGTCTCCCTCTCTCTCTGCCCTCCCCTACTCATGTTCTCTCTCTCTCAAAACTAAATAAACGTTAAAAATATTAAAAAAGTGTTCCTGTCTATTTTTGCATATTTATTTTTCTACATGAAGTTTAGCATAAACTTGCCTAACTCATAAAAAAAAAATTAAAAGCTGGTCAGTATTTTTATTGGTATTGCTTTACCAAAAAATTAATTACAGAAAAAATCTTTTCTTGTTTATTAATAAAGTAACTTGGGGAGAACTGCATCTTTCGGAAGTTCAGTTGTCTTACTAAAGAACAAGTGATTTTAGGGGCATCTGGGTGGCTCAGTCTGTTAAGTGTCTAACTCTTGATTTTAGCTCAGCTCGTGATCTCATGGTTCCAGAGATCAAGCCCTCTACTGGGCTCTGTGCTGAAAGCACAGAGCCTCTCTGCCCCTCCCCTCTCAAAATAAATAAACAAACAAACAAACAAACAAATAAATAAATAATAAAACATTTTAAAAATGAAAACTTGATAAAAAAGAACAAATGATTTACAAACAATCTATTTGAGTCTACTTTTGTGTTTTTTGCAAGTTTACAACGTTTTCCTCATATTGGTCTTTCACATTATTAGGTATTTTATTTACTCTGTTGCTATTGTAAATGGAGTTTTTACTATCGTTTTATCAGCTAACAGGTTACTGTTTGGGTGTATGAAAGCTACCAATTTTTGTAGGTCTGTGTTATGTCTTGTTATTTCACTGAATTGTTTGAATTAGTTGTATCATTGATAATCTAGAGGTTTACAGGTGCACGATCATATCCTCTGCAAATGGAAACAGTTTGCTTCTTTTCATTTCTTATCTGTGCAGTCTGTCTTGCTTTCTCTTGCCTAATGGCATTGCTTACAACAGCGTAATGTTGGAAGTGATGGTGGTAATGGGCATCCTTGCTTTGTTCTCTTCCCAGCAGAAATGCCTCTGGCGCTCCAGTGATTTCCCATTAGCAAGAGGTTGGCTTTCTGACTTTAGGACTAAGCTATATAATTATATGTACCTATTTATCTATGATTAGGAAGGTATCAAATAATTTCTATTTTCATTTGTTTTTTTTTTACAGGAATAGGTATTGAATTTTATAAAAAGTTTTGACTGCCTCTATAAAAAGAGGCAGTCATATGATTTTTCTTCTTAGATTGATTAATAGGGTTTATTATATTAAGGATTTCTTAATATAGACTCAATCTTGGATTCCTGGAATAGTTCCAGCTTGGTTATGGCATATTATTTTCTTAACATGGTGCTATTTCTGAATATTTTGTTTTGAAAATTCTATCTCAATTTTCATTATGATATTGTTGCAGGATTCTCGCTCAGAGAGTCGTGACACTGAGACTTTTCTTTCCAGGAAGCAACTTTATTTTGCCGGCACAGCTCAGTTGGGTTCATACCCAAAAGAACTGAGCGGCCCACATCATATGGCATAGGTTTTTTTATGCATTTTCTATTTCTTTGTCTCCCATATATGGTAATACACATAAACATGCAGTCTGATTAAGTTGTTTCAGTTTACAGGAACATGGGGGATGTAGGCAGCCAGACCCATATCTAGGTGACCTTGAAGTCTTCTCTTCTCTCTTCTTCATTTTTTTTCTTTCTCCTTAGGGAGGGGTTCCTACCACATTCCCCCCTTTGATGCTCGGACCCCTCTATTTTGGGTCAAAGAGCATCATCCTGGCTTAGAGGTTTATATTTCCATAACATCATTACATGAGCAGCCGTTTTTCTCTCAACTATAGTCTCAATGAGACTGGAGACTGATCGTATAATCAAGGGAGCCAAGCAGGGTACGATCAAACATCCTCCCAGAATTAGGAGGACAATACCTATGAGGGTTTTGAGTCCCCCAAAAGATGAAAACCATCCTCCAAATAACTCTCTGGGGTTCCAACCATTCCAGGTTTGGACTGGGACATGAGCAACTTTTCTCATTCGATCTGTGATTTCCTCTATGACTTTTCCTTCATCATCTATCTGTAGGCAGCAGTTGCTCAGGTTGAATTTTCCACAAACACCACCCTCAGAAGCAAGCAGGTAATCTAAGGCCAGGCGATTTTGGTAGATTGCATTGCGCATTTTGGTTTGCTGCTTAGCAAGTAAATTAAGAGCCCTAGCAGTTTCATTGGTTATAATTTCTACAACTGCTTGTAGCCTAATTATGCGGTTTAGCATATAAATGGGGGTGCGGTAGCCCCAAGACCCATCCTCGGCCCACGTAGCAGGGCCGTAATAATGAATTATTTGTTTGGGAGGCCATTCATTTTCCTTCCAGTTGCCAATTTGCAAGGCATGCTGCTTTCTTTGAACTTTCCTATCTCCATATATTTGAACTCCCAGATGTTCTCCTTCTGCAAGTGGGAGTAGGAAGAAGGATGGGCGGATAGTTCCCAGCACACATGACCCTGACCAGCCTGAAGGGGGTACTGTGTAGGCTGTTCTCCCACATATCCAATATAGTCCCCCTGGGGCCCGCCGTTCGATGGCAGCGTCTGTGTTGTCCCAGGCCTCCCGGAGATGAGAGAAGTTGAACAAGGGGTGAGGATTTGGCTCATGGTGACCTGGGGACCCCCACCATTGGGTTTCCCAGGTGGTTGAATTATAAACCCTTTGGCCCAGGCATGTTAAGTTTCCGACAGGAATGATGAACTGTTTCCCCCATCGGGCAAGACCGTTCTTCCCAATGATTGAGGTTTTCAGGAGCCAAACCCCGGCTGTAGAACTGGGGTAATTCGTTCCATCCTAAGGCTCGAGGGGATCTAATTCTCTGGCCTCCCATGGCCATTGATCCCCCATGTTGGTCCCTCCACATACATAGCATGAAGAGATCTTCAGAGTCTGGGCTATAGTCTCTGCCAGGGCCGGAAACAAATTCCTTGCTGTGACTGAAATGGGAAGGGGACTACTTCTTATTTCCTCGCAGAAGGAGTGAAAAACTTGGTGGGACGTGGCTGGATGGGTGGCAGTGATCCTCTTAAAATACAGTACAGTCCCTGGGTCTTTGCCTCTTCCATAAATTCGAATACCAATTCGAATGCCCCGTTGCCGTTTGTAGTCTTCTAAATTAATGGTAGTGAAATTACAGGGTTACAGGCTTTTGACTGACAATCTGATCTAGCAGCCCCCTTTTGAAGGAGAGCTGTTCCATCCTTTCTTTTTCCAAGTGGCCCATGAAACACAGCTCCAACTAGGACATAGAAACTCAGGTGTATAGGCACATAAACCATTTTCCTCACACATGTATTTGTCATTGAGGCTATATTTTCTTTCCCATTTTAAGCCTCCACTTGGTATATCAAGAGTTTTTGGACCCTCCATGACAAGTGCCCGTTTTTTCCGTATAACGGATGCTTCTGGGTCTAGACCAATAACCGCACACACATCAAACAGTACTGACACAGGACGTTTGGGGTTTGTAATTCGTAACCGCACACACATCAAACAGTACTGACACAGGACGTTTGGGGTTTGTAATTCGTGTCCGGCTAATTAAGGCCCCCTCTTCCTGGTAAGATCGGACTTCTAACCAATCTTCATTTGGGGAGTACTGTGGGTCAAAGCAAGTGTATTGACTTCCCCAATGGCAGACGGAATAGGTGGTCTTGTTATGTATGCATGTCCCTTGGACCTTTCCCTGGCATGAGAAATGGATATGGTACAATAGGGTCCAGGTGATTCCTTGGCCTGACCTGGTTATGCGAACGCATGGATCGCATGATGAGAGATCCAGGTTTACAAGCGGAGTCCAAATTGAAAACAACCAATACCAACCAAACATCCTACCCACAAGAGAAAAGTGAGTGCTAACAGAAACCTTTCGCCACATTTCCAGCTGGCTGGGGCAACCTCCGCCAATCCAATAGCAAGAAGTAAAGCAAAAATTGCAATAATAGTGAGAGACAAGGGGTGACAGTGCATTACAGTAAGAGGCAGATGTAAGAAATAAGGACGGTCTATTTATTTCTTCGGACCGGCGATTCCTCAAGCTTTCGCTGTGCGTAGATTAGTCAGCTTCCGGAGTGACTAAAGCAGGGCTGTCGTCTCCCATTGCAGTCTCCGCCGTGGCAGCTCGCTTCTTCCGTATGGTCAGCTTACACAACGTGGACGGATCAGGAATGCACTCCCAGTCCCCGGATGCCGGCTTCACTCTGCTGTGGTGAATCCAGGGACCTACCTCGGCTACTTTTACTGCAGTAGGTGTGGACAAAATGACAGTAAATGGGCCCCTCCAAAGGGGTTTGAGTGGTTGGACATTCCACTCTTTTACCCATACAGCATCTCCTGGCTCAAAGGAGTCAGTATCTGTGGTCAGACTCACAGGCAATCGTTCTTTAACCCATTGGTGTAGAGTGGCTAGAGTAGAGCCCAGAGCCTGCATTGCTGCCTTAGGGTTAAATTGCCTATCTCATTTAAGTCTCCCCTTATCCCTTTAACAATTGAGGGAGGGTGCCCATAAAGGATTCCATAAGGGGAAAGCCCCGTTTGCTTATTGGGGCTGCACCTGATTCTTAACAAGGCTATTGGCAACACCTGGTCCCAGTGCAGGTGGGTCTCCTGGCACAGTTTACTTAATTGCAGCTTCAAGGTTCTGTTCATTCGT